TTAACATTTTAAATAGCTAGAGGGTTCGTGATTTCTTCAGTTAATGGTGGCAGCGAAGGTCTTAAGTAAAGATACATCCCCTCAAACACTATAAGAGGTGTGAATTCCTTATTGAAGGAGGGACAGTGGTGGGATTCTTTGACCCCCCTGCCTTGATAAGCCTCTAAAGCCTTTATACCAAACACCACCACACATGAGCTGTAGTTTTATAGTTTATTGAGGAGAAAATCCAAGTCAAAATAAAGAATAAGCATTGCAAAATTCCAAAAGATTAAGGTTAAAAGCAGAATATAGTTCCAAAGATCTTCAGGTAAAAACAGGAGACATAATCCTATTGGCAAAGTTCCAACCAGAGTCCCAGGTACAAGCAATGAAGCAATTGCCCCATTAATCACCATGCAAGAAATCCCAAGTGTACTACTTTTCAGGCTAAGATTATTCCATGAAGCTTTCAGCCTGGTAAGCTACGTTGAACGGATGCTTTCACAGAGTTTCCAAGAGGCCTAAATACCTTTCTGACATCAAAACATTAGGCTCTCAGCATCATAAAAGCATTGCGACGACCTTCCACCGAGCTGGCTTCTCGTCTGCTTGCCAGACGCGAACTCTGCCTGACCCGGAGATCAAGGCAAGCTTCCTGGGTCAAGTCACTATCTACACTTTCGGTATCAGCGTGAGAAGGCACCTGCTCGCTATCTCCTTCGTTAAAATTCCTTTCTGGTGAAAACAGCTGTGTTGACACTGCACTGTCTGTGAGAGCCTCAGAAGCAGGCTCAGAGATTTGAGGCACAGACAAAGAGCCCAGCAGGAATCTGAATCCCATCATCCTCATTGCCAGAAAATAGCTCAGCCACAACAGCCTCCAAATCCACAAGGTGACAAAAATATGATACCTAATCTTTAAAAGTGGTTTGCACAAATTGAGTTGTGCAAACTACTTTTGAAGATTATGTATCATTTTTTTTGTTTACACTGTTTTTATAGCTGTACATGTTTTAAGATTTTGAAATCTGCCATTTAACAGATTATTTTTATGTGATATAAGTAAAGTAGTAAAAGTTAAGAGTACCTTCAGGAAAATGTAAATATAATAAGCAATTGTTATACATGTATGTGTTTAAATGTGAAGAAGAATGTAATGATTAAAAAATTCTAAAGTTACTGTAGAAAATTCAAAGATGAATTATTTCTTTTTAAAATCATATCTATTCATCTCTTGTAGGTGAAATTGTTAAGGACAAGATGACTTGTTACTTGCTTCACTCCATTGATCAGTTGCTTCCCTCAGCAGCAAAGGAACGTATTGATTTCATACCACATTACGATACACTTGTAAAAAGTGGAATATATGAATATTATGCTAGTGAAGGACAAAATCCTCTGCGTAAGTATTTCAGGTGTTTTCTGAACAGTAAATTCATGAGAGTGTTGTATTGACAAATAAAGGGCTATTAATTTAATGTTACTTTTAAAGGTGTTTTTAAATGCAGATTTAATATAAACTACCTGTACCTGCCACACATTGCTGTGGCCAACCGTCCCTCCCTCTTTTTCTCCTCCTTTCTTTCTCTCCTTCCTTCCTTCTCTCCCTCCCTCTTTCCTTCCTTCCTTCACTCTTTTCTTTCCTTCTGCCTTTCCTTCCTTCCTTTTCTACCTCTTTCAGGGTTGCACTCCCTCTGAAGTCACAGGTCCGCAGCTTGGGGGTCCTCCTGGATTCAGCGTTGATGCTTGACGCGCAGTGTTGGCAGTGGCCGGGAGGGCCTTCACACAATTAAAACTTGTGCACCAGCTGCAACCATACCTCATGAAGCCTGACTTGACCACGGTGGTCCACGCCTTGGTGACCTCTAGATTGGACTATTGCAATGCACTCTACGTGGGGCTACCCTTGAAGACAGCCCAGAAACTCCAACTGGTTCAACGTTCAGCAGCCAAATTAATAACCGGGGCGAATTACAGGAAGCGGTCAACCCCCCTGTTTAAGGAGCTCCATTGGCTGCCATTTATTTTCCGGTCCCAATTCAAGGTTCAGGTCATCACCTTTAAAGCCCTAAACGGTTTGGGACCCGTCTACCTTCATGACCGCATCTCCTTCCACAAGTTGGCCTGCTCTCTTCAATCTTCGAGAGAGGCCCTCCTTTCACCCCTTCCTTTATCACAGGCCCACCTTATGGGAACAAGGGAGAGAGCCTTCTCCACTGTGGCCCCACGTCTCTGGAATTCATTGCCCGGTGAGATTATGCAAGCCCCCACTCTAGCAGCTTTCAAGAAGGATCTCAAAACCTGGCTTTTCCTCTGTGCTTTTGGAGAGTGACCCTACATCTCCTGTTGTTCACTCCCCCATAATGTCTGTCCCCACACTGTACTTCCCCCTGCCTGTTTGAAGGTCTGTCTCCATTGCTCCATTACTCCGTTTTCCAGTGAGTTTCTCCTTCACAAATATTTGCATTTAATCTCTATCTCATCCAGAGTTTTTATTATTTTACATTGTACATGTGGACCACTCGCTGTGATTGTGATTTATCTATTACTGTATTTTGCATTAATTTATTGTATTCTTATGCTTTATTTATTTTATTCCAAGGTTTATTTTGTGTTTTGGTTTTATGTTGTTGTAATGAATTTCTAGGCTTGGCCTCATGTAAGCCACCCTGAGTCCCCTTTGGGGAGATGGTGGCGGGGTATAAATAAAGTTTATTATTGTTTATTATTCCTTCCTTCTCCCCCCCCCCCCCACTTTTTTTCTTTTACTTTTCTTTCTCTCCTTCCTTCCTTTCTTCCTTCCTTCCTTCCTTTCTTCTCTACCTTTTTCCTTCCTTCACCTCCCTTTTTCTTTCTCTCCTTTCTTCATTCTCTATCTATTCTTGGACTGTAACTAGCAGTAGTCCTCCTGATTGATCTATGTACCTAATATCTATATCTTATGTATGTATCTTATCTGTCTGGAGGATTGCTGAGAGTTGCAGTCCAGGAATAGGAAATTGGAAATATGCAGGGATTGGGATGCGCTCAAAGAAATCCAAGAAGAAAGCTTGCAGCTTGGAAGCAGTGCATTTGGAGCAACCTCCTCCTCTAAAGGGCCTGGTCTAGGGGATGCTGGGAGCTGTTGTTTTGCGCATGTGCTATATTGCCATTTAGTTTTTTGGGATTTTTAAGTCCTTTCCACTGTTTTTTGGGAAGGGTTTATGAGTGATGGTCACTCATTGGTCTGTTAGGGCTGTAGTGTCCAAATTTTGTGTCAATTCGTCCAGTGGTTTTTGAGTTATGTTAATTCCACAAACGAACATTACATTTTTATTTTTATATAGATGGTCTGTTTTCTATTCTTAATGCCCCAAAAAGATGCTTGCTCACACATAAACATACAGTTTATCTGGAAGAGTTTCTTCAGTTATAGCTTTCCCGTGTGTTTAATCCTAATCATTTGTTTAAATGTGAGGTGCAGGATACCCCGGGGAAGCTACTAATAAGAGTGTTGTTTAATTGCTGAAGTTTGCTGTTTTATTCTCTTCCATTCACATTAGAAATGCTTTTAAAGTAGAAAATATCCTAAAAATTGCAAAAAAAATTGCCTTTTCCCCCTTAGAACTAAGGCAGTGTGCCCAGTTTGCTGGTCTTTGATCTTGGAGTGAACTGGAAATGGTCTAGGGGTTTTTTGGGGGGGAGGGGTTATTGCCAAGATAAATGTGCCTGTTCTGTCGCCACTGGGTCCGAACAAAATGTCTTTATTCTATAGAACGCACACTTTAAACCCAGTGGGAAGCCGGGGTGCCCGAAGAGAGATTGTTAGAGACTTCCAAAAGTAATGGGCTTTAGAGTCTTTAAAAGTACAACAAAGTCTTTATTAAGGAACAAATCTTCAAACAAAACTTCACGGCTTTACTATTCAAGTCTTTAAGAGACTGGCACTAACTTGGTTTGACTGTACTATCTCATAAGGAAGAACTCTTTATAATCCCTCCCAGGCCGTCCATCACCTAGGCCTCGCTGGTCTGGGTAAAACTGCCGATCCCCAAATGCGTCTGGAAACCGAGTAACCTACCAGACGAAGCTAGAAGATGTTTTGCTGGAATTCTGTGGTTCTGCAGTGATGTCCTGTGGAAACTTCAGGGCTGTTTTCCCCTCTGGTGCTGTGAGGCTGAGAGGCTGTGAGCTCTCAGCCAGAGCCTTTGGGACCTTTTCCTTCTGTTTCCCTGGAACTGGATGGTCACTGGATGACCCCTGGATGGTCGCTGGATGGACCCCAGATCACCTTTGGATGATCCCCGGATGGCTATTTCTATTTCCCGGAAGGTTTTGAGGAATGAAGCCTTTCCTACGGGACTAGCTGATCTGCGTCCTATAGACTGGCTTCCTTGTGTGACTGACTGAAAAATGGCCCCTTCCCTCCAAAAACTCAAAAAGGGGCGGGACCAGGGAACCTAACTATAATTGGCAGGTGGCTTACCCTATGATTGCAAACCTATAACAGGAAGCCACCCTGCTGCAAAATCCCAAGCCTGGGATTGCAAACAAACATTAACTGCAAAGCAAACAAAATAGGAGCTCCTGGTACAGCTGTACCAGCACATGTGCCAGCAAAATATATCAGTTTTATTCACAAGCTGCTCATAATTAAAATCTGTATTTGCATTTGTTTTTTATCTTTTACTTTTAAATAAAAATAATTAAAATCTAAATATGAGACAAACATATACATCAAACAGATGCTATTGATACTGTTTACTCAGCAAGTGGCAGGATTTTGCTGATGTTTCAGAAGATGAGGAGATTGGTGTAGAGTCTGGGAGCGATCAGAGAGAATTGCAGGCAGATAATGAGGCCGATGCTTTAGATTCTGGTGCTTGTTCCCAAGCAATGGAAAGTGAAAGTTCCCTTGTGAATCAGCCTCAGGAAACCAGATTAGGTCTGAGAAGCCAAGGAGTGAGAAATAGACAAAGGAGATATTCCCAGAGAATCCGAGAAAAGTCCTTGAAGGCTCAGGGGTTTCGGCATGATCTCATGGGCACCTGAATGGGCTTAAATTCGGTGGTTTGGGCTTCAAGCTCTCAGAGGAGACAAGGTTGTTAAAAGGATGGTTTTCCTGACTCTGCTCTCAAGTTCATGACTGAAGTTTCCTGTTCCGGTTCATGCCTGTGTGCCTTGAAGGGCTTGCCTTCAATAAAGTTCCTGTTTTCTGGAACTTCAATAAAGTTCCTGTTTTATGGATTTATGTCTAGAGTGCTGCTGTGTATTTTGGTTCCGTTGACTTTATGTACTTTGCCATTTTTGGATTACTGCTATTTTGTATTTTCTATTCTACCTTTTTTGGAGAGGCTCTTTTTTTCCCTGTTTACCTGCTTTCTTTAATAAACATTTTTCAATAGTACTACTGAACTCTGGTGTGGTGCTGGTGAAAACAGCAGATACCTCTTCAGAAAATTTGGAGTGATTCTTCAGGCAAAAGTACAGTGTTTGTTAAGCTGAAGGCAGGGAGTGGGCCAGAATGGAAGAATCCTCATTTAATGAGGATAATAAATTTAATGAATATAGTAAAGCATTACAGCAATTAAGGAAAGTCCTGGAACACTGGTGTGATAGTAGGTTTAGCTCTGATAAAATAGATGTTGCACAACTATAAATGAAAAGGCACAAAAACTGTTAGAGTTAGGTTTCTTTCACACAGCTGAATAAAATCCCACATTATCTGCTTTGAACTGGAATATATGGCAGTGTGGATTCAGATAACCCAGTTCAAAGCAGATATTGTGGGATTTTCTTCCCTGATGTTCTGCCTTATATGACTGTGTGGAAGATACAACTTGTGGGCATGAAATAAAAGAACTGAGAGATAAGGTAGAAAGGCAGGGAAGCATCAATAATAAGCTTAATATGCATCTGAGACATAAGTTAGTGAATTGCATCCAAACCTTTGCCCAGGCCTAAATATTGCAGTTGAAGACTCAGGGCCCTTCCACACTGCCCTATATCCCAGAATATACGTAAAGGCAGAAAATCCCACATCATCTGAGTGTGGACTCAGATAACCCAGTTGAAAGCAGATAATGAGGGATTTTCTGCCTTTATATTCTGGGATATAGGGCTGAGTGGAAGGGCCCTTTGAAAGAATCTTCAAGATAGGTTCCAAATGAACACAGGAGGTTGATAGAATGGGGAGGGGCTCAGCTAGTTGAGGCTTATGAAAGTTCTTTGTTGAAGCAGGAAGTTACTTCGTGCTTTCTGTGGTTAGAAACAGCCTCTCCTGGGCTTAAAATGACCTAAAAACATTCTTCTACGTAAATGACTTCTATTCAGACATACATACAAACAAAAAACCATATGTGTAAAACGCAACAACACAAAATGAAATGAAATCTACAATAAAAACATTTTTCATTATATACAAAAGTAACTAAGACATTTTTATCTGCAACACACAACTATACACATTCTAAATAAACACTGACTAATCTAATCTATAAGCCTCCTGCTTGCTGCCTGATGGTTTTAACTTTTTATTTGTTGGTCCCTTAACAAATAAAGGCACTTAAAATATTCCTATTTTCACATCTTCTAGAGCAGGACTTTCCACTTAGCGCTGTTTGCCTGAGAAATGTTTACATAATCCCAAAACCCACAATTTAAGGAGCAATACTCTAGAGAGCAATGGAGGAAATTTTAAATGGTTTTTCAGAGCAATGTGTTATGTTGTGTAGCGCTCCATAAATTCCTGGGGGCATAATTTTTCACATTTGCCCATCTCTGTTGTAAGATTGACTTGCAAGTACCAAAGGGATAAGGGAGAAGTTTCAAGCTCTTGCAGAAGATACAGTAAGAAAAAGGAGAGAATAGAAACCATACATTTGGGCCCCTTTGACACTGCCATATATCCCAGGATGTGATCCCAGATTTTCTGTTTATCCCAGATTATCTAGCAGTGTAGACTCATATAATCCAGTTCAAATCAGATAATCAGGGATCAGATCCTGAGATATAGGGCTGTGTAGATGCAGCCTTGGATGCTTAAATATCAATGAATAATATATATATGAGTGTTCCCTTTCAAATAGATTATTTTTTATAGTGTCAAGCAAATATCAATGCTACTATTGAAGTAGCTGCAAGATTTCTGCAAACTAAAGATAGCTAAACAGTAATATAAAGAAAACCTCAGGAGTTGGGAAAAAAAGTATTGAAAGGGGGAAAGTGTACAGTGAGCTAACTCATCTTTTCTTGTGTATGTATGAAAGTCATTCCTTTTAGAAAAAAAGATGGGCAGTCAGATTCAAATTACTATATTTGATGCTAGATGATTGTATGTAAATGTATTCATTTTGTTTAACCATTTAGCTGTTTGCTCAGGTTTATTACAGCCTGGGAGTACTCAGAAGAATGTTTATTTATTTATAATGTCAGGAGCAACAAGACAGTTGTATTATATTTTTAACAAAACAAATAAACAGACAAAACACAAAGTTGCAAGCTTGGTAGTTGAATTAAATTGCTAGAAGAATTAAATTATACTAATTCATTGAAGGAGAACATTTCTTTGTTCTCCCATTGAATGTAGGCAGGTTATCTTGTGTGGAAACCAGCATATCTACTACAAGAGTTCTTGGGTAATGAATCTGGTTTGAATGGATGTTCCTCCTCCTGGAGATAATAATTTTATTATTTTGTCTGTTCTCTTTTCCGTTTCAACTAGTTAGATAAAGTCATTCAAAGAGAGGGGAATCTAACTGTATGGCCATGCTTGTATACAACATTGTTACATGGTATTTCTAACTCTGAAACTGAAGATGTTTAGCCTTAAGGTAGTTTAAGGGGACCTAGGCTGTTCAAACACTTTAAAGTGGTTCAGTGGGATTCTATAAAAGTTTCCAACTTTCAGAGGGTTTACGGTCTGTCTTTAGCAGTCTTAATATCATGTAATTTGTGCTGTTAAGCTTTCACAATGTGCTGCTTCCAGACAAGCTTTGCTTAATAAAATGAACTCCACGCTTGATTAACTTCCTCATGTTCTCAGTATCAATTGAGAAGATGTATATTCCTGGTGATCTCTGTAAATCACTCTCTCAATTCAAGGAAGATACTACCAAGGTCTTAAATCTTTGCTGCAATTCCTACTTTTTGTAGCTTGCCCGGTGGTGCAGTGGGTTAAACCCCTGTGCCGGCAGGACTGAAGACCGACAGGTCGCAGGTTCGAATCCGGGGAGAGGCGGATGAGCTCCCTCTATCAACTCCAGCTCCTCATGCGGAGACATGAGAGAAGCCTCCCACAAGGATGATAAAAACATCAAAATCATCCGGGCGTCCCCTGGGCAACGTCCTTGCAGACAGCCAATTCTCTTACACCAGAAGCAACTTGCAGTTTCTCAAGTCACTCCTGACACGACCAAAAAAAAACGTAGCTTGCCCTGCAGCAATTTGATATAAAGAATTAAGAGACTGACAGGTTTTCTGGATAAAAACTGCCTGTATTCGTATTACACATCTGCCTCCGTTGCCTCCTCTCAGGTGCATATGAAAAACTGATAAAATAAGTTTTGTTGTAAATGGTAATTCTTAGAAATGTCTTTCTTTTTTATTTAGCATTTGCTCTTGCAGAATTAATTGATAACTCATTATCAGCAACTTCTCAAAATACGGGCGTACGGAGTATACAGTTAAAGCTGGTAAGACTCTTAAGATTTAATGTTAAATGTCTCAATAGGTTTAATTTATCATAGTAACTTAATACATTGTTTTTTCTTTTTCAAAATAGTTGTTTGACGACACTCAAGGAAAACCAGCTGTCGTTGTGATTGATAATGGAAGAGGCATGACTTCTAAACAACTTAATAATTGGGCTGTGTATCGATTGTCAAAGTTTACACGACAAGGCGATATGGAAAGGTTAGGTAGTTGTAATCTCAGTGATCAAGAAATGCACTATTGATTAATTTCCTCGATCGAATTAATATAATACTGTAATATTCTTCTTGTACTTCTAACGAGTTAGGAGATCTTGTGGTAGCACAATTTCAAAAGATTTCCTGAGAAATAAGGTCAAGTGGAACTTAACTCCCAATCAACTGTGTAACTAAAATACAATTAACTAAGAAATGAGTATAGTTATTATGAAAGGCTCTCTGTACAGGAATCATCTAAAAGACAAAATGGGTGGAATTAAATACCCCATATTTACTTGAGTCTAGTGTGCAATCAAATGTAATGTGCACCTCAATTTTGAGGTGTGCATTACCAAAAAAATGATTTTCTAAAGAAGGAAAAAGAAACAGGGCTCTTCTACTAGACGGAGACTGGCGAGTTTCTTCTTTAGAAAATTGTTTGGTATACTGAGAGACGAAGGACAAATGGCTGAGGAAGAGGGGCACAGGCACCTTTTGGTGCACAATTGTAATGTGCCATTGAATGTAATGCACATCTTCATTTTGCTAAACAAGCCAAAAAAGATGTTCATTGCATTTAAGTAAATATGGTGTATTTGGGTAGTTGGGTGGACTTGTTGCACAAATACAACCAACGAGCTCTAATGCTCTAGTACAGAAGATACACTGGAGCTTCATTATAAAATAAAGAGTTTGGAACCATGATACTCAAAAGTTATCGCTTCTATAACTGTAGAATGTGGAGATGCTCTTAGTGTTACTAACACACTGGCTACTACTACCCCCTACTACCCAACTAGTAATTTGGCCAGAAGGGAAAAGTAAATGGGATCCCAAAAACTTTGCAGACCGCATCTCAAGTCTTTGAATTTTCTGTTCTAGTAGATGCCATGGCACTGCTATAAATATAAAATAGGGGTAAAAGTGACTTGTTTGTTTGAATAAATGTATACACTTTGACTAGATCCTCTCAGAATTTGATTTTTTCCTGTGTTCATTTTTTATTTATTTTTATTAACCGCTGTGTATTTAGTAGTGTATTTAATATTTTCTGATATTTCTTTTTATCTATTTTTGGTTTTAGTGATCATTCAGCCTATGTACGACCTCCAGCAGTACATCGCAGTTTAAACAGTGATATATCATATTTTGGGGTTGGTGGTAAACAAGCAGTGTTTTTTATTGGACAATCTGCTAGAGTAAGTAAATATTTGTATTAGTCATTTTGTATATTATGTTTAATTAATATAAAAAGGACTGGGTACATGGAGCATCATAGGAAAACAAACTGAAAAAACAGTCCTGTTTGTAGCAAAATGTATTAATAAGTGTATATATGCTGTGTTTATTATTACTGTTATGTTGTAAGATGCTTTGAGTCCCATACATAGAAAAGTGGGCCATAAATAAATTAGATAAATGGGAAATAGACAATAAGAAAGTTAAAAGAGCCATAAGAATCAAACTTGAAGTACTGTATATGTTTGAATGAGATATATTGTACATATTTGAGTAGGTGTTACTCTGTTCTAACTACCAAGAAGTCATTATTAGGCCAGTTTTAGCCTATTTGTATGGAAAGGATCCAGAGTGCAGTTTTTCTGCCAACACAGTCTCTGGTGACACATGATAAATACAATCTCTCTCTGCCAGGATGTTCAAGCAAACATCCTGTGCAGATAACAAATAATGGATGTTTTTCTTCACGGTCTCTTTGACTCAGACAAAGAGTTGTCTGCACCTGTGCAGTGTATCATTGTCAGCCTTCTACAGCTATTACCTAAACTTCTTAGCAATAACTCCACCAATTCTTCATATGTTTGTCCATTGCATTTCTCATGTAAACCCTCAGTTTCTTTTTGTCCGCTGCTGCAGCATAAAGGGGAATGTTCACTAGAGGTTTTGATTTTCTCATTGTGGGTTTTTGACAGACTTCTGACTTTGCTTTTTGGATTCCCTTGGTTTGGTTTTTCCTTCTGTATCTTGTTTGACTTAAGAGTATCCTTTGTGCCTTAGGGAAACATGGCATTGTGGATATCTGTGAACTACATGAAAGATATGATGTTTAGGACTTGTGTTTCCTATGTGAGAGCTGAGCTGTATTCTTCTCTTGCATGTGTTTTTTGGATGACTGTACTGTATTCTTGGGCATAACACTCCTTACTCCTGCATTTAATAGCCTTCTAATCTCCCATTGATCTGAGTCACAGAGACTACAAAGAAAGAGGACAAATTGATTTTACAAGGTTCTTAGCTTTCTCTGCCAAAGAGAGCTGGTGCCTCACCAAATTACAGCTCCCATGATTCCATATCACTGAGCCATGTCAGTGAAAGTGGTGTCAAACTTAGTGAATTCTGTAGTGTAGATACATCCCCGGTTTTTCCCTTTGCCAAATAAACTGTGAAATATCTTTTTGCTGTTTAAATTATATATTACTGGTCAAAGTATCTGGGGGAAAATAACTTTTTAGGCAAAATACTTTTTTATTTCTGAAATTCTTCTCATCAATGATATTTTTAAATTTCTTCATTTTTGGATATCCTGGTCAGTACTGTTTCAAGTTTTGGTATAATTGTGATGGAACAATAATTACGGAATTATTGAATATTTTGTTTGCAATCATAGTTTCCAGGAATCCTATTTTTTCTCAATTATGAAACCAATTTATTCCTTTTAAATCTTCTAGCCATGTTTTCCTATATATTTGACAACGTTACTGTTTTTTCCTTATTTGACTTTTTAATCATACTTGTTTATCTGTATAATTTGGGTAAATCTGATTCCCAGTATCTTGCTCTGTGTATGCTGCTGTGATTTTGTCTAGTATAAATATGAGCCTTTTCTGATTCATTAACTTCTTAAAATATTGAGCAGATGATAAGCAAACCGGCAGATTCTCAGGATGTTCATGAGCTTGTTCTTTCTAAAGAAGATTTTGAAAAGAAAGAGAAAAACAAAGAATCTGTGTACAGCAGCTACATTAGAAACAGAAAGGTATGATAATTAAATCTGTGTTTAATTTTGGTATACTCTGGGCTTTGGTTTTGTGTTGCCTTTGATCATATGATTCACTTTCGTTTTGTATCTTAGTGCTTTTTGTGTATGTTGTAAACCATCCAGAAAACTTTTAAGTTAAGGAACAGCATAAAATAGATAGATAATAATTTGTTTACAGGTGTTCATACTTAGAAGTATGAAACACTTGCAAGATTCCTGTTGCTGCAGAGAAGACTTGCAGTTTCTGAAGTCACTCCTGACATGACCAAAAAGAGAAGCACCTGCTAGATTTTTAACTATTGTAACTGTTTCAATAATTTTTCAAGTAAACTGTACAGAAAAACCAATTTGAAAAGTTATTTTTTCTCAAATTCGTTAAATCTCATTAGATTTTCTGTTACACTATTTTGGTCTGTGATGCAAGAAATTAACTGATAGTATTCCTTCTCAAATAACTTCATTTTATTTTTAAATCCTTTCTCATAGCTATGTGACTCTTCCCACATTGTTACTGATGATGAAAGATTTCTGCACAATCTTATAATAGAAGAAGAAGATAAAAAATGTTTCACTACAGTAGTTATTACTGGTGTTCAGCCAGATCATGTGCACTACTTAAAAAATAATTTTCATCTTTGGATAAGGCAATTGGCGTGAGTTGATTATTGATTTTATTTTTATTTGCTTAAAGGTTATTGATTTACAGATGGTCTGTTAAAAACTAGCTCTGTATTTCCCAAAAATACAAATGTTGCTTCAAATATGTTACATTTGAAGATTAGAGAAACTAACGTGCATCTACTTTCCTTCAAGAAATGTTTTTGCAATTTGAAGAATGTGGAACTAGTGTCAGGTTGGGGCCACCTAAACACCTTGCACTGCTTTTCTATAAGAGAGGAATGTAGTAAACCATTTCCTCTCCTAGCAGACTCTTACAATCTCTCTTTGTTATTCATACTTACTGATATTAGATATAAGGTGGGAATATGTTGTTGTTTTTTAAATCAAAGTGAAGTTTGGAAATGTTAACCAGTTGCAGCCACAAATATTCTTCATGCATTTCCATTAAATTATGGGTGATAAATATATTTATATTGCATCCCTAAATACCCTAAATAAAATAGATCTTGCCCAATCCTGGAAGTTAAGGTGTGGTTTGTACTTGGGTGGGAGCTGCCAATAAATATTAGATGTTGTATATAAATTTTATAGTTGCACATTTGCAAAACACGTCTCAGTATTCCTTGCTTATGAACATTCATGAGGTTTCAACAGGCGGCTTGAAGGCACGTATACAATGTATGCTTACCCCTATTTTTAGGCTTCCAGTTATGACATGTCAGATCTTTTATTTTTACCTTAGGCCAGTGGTTCTCAACCTGGGGTCCCCAGATGTTTTTGGCCTACAACTCCCAGAAATCCTAACAGCTGGCAAACTAGCTGGGTTTTCTGCGAGTTGTAGGCCAAAAACATCTGGGGACCCCAGGTTGAGAACCACTGCCTTAGGCTGTTTGCTACTTGCTTTAATAGTATGGTATACATTATTACTGGTTTTTTAATGTATTCTAATTAAAGTTAATTGTTTCAGACACATATATCATTACTATATCCATGGTTCAAAGGGAAATGAAACAAATTTGCCAAAAAAAGAAGGAAGACCTTTTAGTAATATCAACATTGAGGTAGGCGCTAAAGAAGTTTCATTAGAAATTAATACATCAGGTTGAATCTAGAAACTCATTAATAATGTTCTACTGAATGAACTAGTTTTTTCACCTCCTCCTCCATGCTATACTTCTAGCACTCCCCGAGCCCTGCAAATAAATTCGATAAAAATCAAACAATGTGATTTTCTGGATGTGTTTTCTCATGTTGTCTCTCACAGTTGAGGTCTACCTATGATGTCAATTACAGGCATCTCTCATTTTTTTAAGTGGGATAACTTGTACAATTGGTATCTGACTAAATATTTTTCCCCCACTATATAAGTGAACTTTCAGGAATACATAAGAGGAAAACCTGGTGTTTCATGTTCTGTTGATAAACATGACAAGAACATGCAGGCAGAGTTGGCACAAATAACTTTTATTTGTTTCAGATTTCAATGTTTGAAAAAGGGAAGATACCCAAGATTATGAACCTTAGAGAAATCAAAGATGACATGCAGACTTTGTATATAAACACTGCAGCAGATAGTTTTGAGTTCAAGGCTAACGTTGAAGGAGATGGTATAGTAGAAGGCATTATACGTTATCATCCTTTCTTGTACGAAAAAGAAACCTACCCTGAAGACCCTTGCTTTCCTTCAAGTAAGTTGGGGAAAGTTCATCTTGCTTCTTGGTGGTATTTGAATAATGAAGATCAAATTTGATAAACTATTGTTTTCAAACATTTCTATGTTTTGAGGTGAATCGCATTGTTTTTGTGGACCTGGACATTATAATGTTAAGACACACTCCTGTTTTTAAGTGCAAATTTAAATTTGACTTTCATTTTATTTATTTAATTAATTGATATATAGCCTGTCTTTCTCTTAGTATGAGACTCAAGCTGTTCACAGCAATTCTTATTAATTAAATTAAAGCAATTCTTACCATATTGACTATCATTTGGTAGTTTCCTAGCACATGAGGCAGCAATACTTCTGTTGTTCTTCTAGCACAAGATCATTGTTTCTCTTCTGCCCAGAACCATTCATATCTGAGCCTCACTATGTATATAGTGAGGGTATTTCCCCCAGTTTTGAGGAATGACATGCCTTTGTCTCTGTGCTATCCAACAATTTAGTTAAAATGCGGTCCTTTCTCACATGAATAAAATGGACCACTATCTCCTAGCTAGTAATGCTTTATGTATGCATTACACACATCACTTTACTCACTTCATTTGCTTAGTAGATGTTTGGTACATTTAAGCTGACCTTTAGCAAAAGTATATTTGATGTGAGAGATCTTACCTAGAGCATGACCTCTTGCCTCATAGAAGAATAAAATCCCATAACCAAGGAAAAGCAGTGCCATGGTAGGCAGGGACAGCTGATAGATATAATTCTAAGTAAATAATATATGCTTTACCAGTGTGTTTGCATTCTTTCAATATTTGAAACTTTATGTAGGAATAAAAGATGATGATGAAGAAGAAGATGATGATGATGAAGCAGACTGTTTTGCCGTGGAAAGGAGAGCTAGAGGGAAAAGACCTATTTTTGAATGTTTTTGGAATGGAAGACTAATCCCATATACAACTGTGGAAGAGTAAGTCTATGCCATTGTTATAACTCAAATATTTTTAAAGATATATATTTTACAAGTTTCTGAACTTTGTATTTTCCCCTTCAAGATTTGAGTGGTGTGCTGTTCCCAAGAAAAGAGGACCTACACCCATTGAATGTTACAAGAGAATTTCTGGTGTATTATTTACAAATGACAAATTTCAAGTCAGCACCAATAAACTGACTTTCATGGATTTGGAGATAAGGTTGAAAGACAAAAATACAATTTTTACAAGAATTGTCAATGGACAGGTAATACTTATTCGCTAAAATTTCAGTAGTATAGTTAGAAGATATATTGTAAAGTAATTAGTGTTCTTTCCCCCTAAAATATTGTTTTATTTCTTAAAGTTTATGAGGGATTTTATCCCAGTTTATTTGCTAGTATAGAGCCTTAATGTTAGGGGTGGCAGAATGTTCTCCAGTGGGTCCCCTGCTTGGCCAGTGCACTGTGTGTGGATGATTATTGAGCTCTTGCAGGCTTAAGTTGCTGCAGTGGCAATACTGTACAGCTTTTGAAGCAAAAGCTTACGTTTTCTACTATACCTGAGTTACTCTAGAGCACAGCAAAGATAGATAGATAGATAGATAGATAGATAGATAGATAGATAGATAGATAGATAGTTCTGTCCAATTACCTGGCACAGTACCAGACCAAATCAGTTGGTGGAAATTAAGGGAATGATCATAGAGTTGGAGAAGACCCCAAGAGCCAATCCAGTCCAACCTCATTCTTTCAAAAATACAATTAAAGCGCATGTACACACACACACACACCCTCCCCGGCAGATAGCAATCCAGCCTCTGTTTCAAAACCCCGAGAGAAGAAGACTTCATTACACTCCAGGGCAGTATATTCCACTGTCAAAACAGCTCACCCACAGGAAGTTCTTCCCACTGTTCAGATAGAATCTCTTTTCCTGCAATTTGAATCCATTGTTCCATGTCCTAGTCTCCAGGGCAACAGAAAGCAATCTTGCCCCCTCCTCAATGTCACATGTTTTAAAATACTTAAACATGTCTTTCATGTCCCCTCAGCCTTCTTTTCTCCAAGCAAACATACCCATTTCCTTCAGCTGTTCCTTATAGGACTTGGCTTCCAAGGTTTTGATCATTTTGATCACACTTTTCTATACACATGATAAATAGCAGCCCCTAACAGGATGTCAAGTGATTGTAAAAGCCCTGTCTTATGTATTTATTCTAAATAAATATTTAGAAATCTAATTCCGACAGACATTTTTAAAGCCGATAAGTAAATGAGAACCAGAACAGTGTAATGGAAATAGGGTTATTTTCAAAAACTTGGAAGTAGAATAAAAATTCTCATGAAAAGATGTTGTCATCTTTTGCAGTAAGGGTAAAATAACTGTTTTGCATCCCTTTATAGGAAATTCAAATAGAAATTAAACTGTGTTTTTTCTATTAGACTAGAACTTTAAAAAGTTACCAATAGATTATTATATGATATTTGTAATTTTAAACTTTTGAAAAAGGTTATTTATTCAAAAATGAGAAAACTTTCAGAAAATATAAATGCTGATTATTGTTAACCTGAAATATGTTTCCAAAACTCTTCATAGGCACAGAGAATGAAAATTGACAGAGAATTTGCATTATGGCTCAAAGAGTGCCATGAAAAGTATGACAAACAGATAAAATTTTCTCACTTCAAAGAACTAATTACACGCCCTGAAGTGACTTCCAAAAGAATGCAGCGTCCCTGGGCTACATATTCAGCGATCGAGTGGGATGGAAAAACATATAAAGTTGAACAGCTAGTAAGTTAACAGTTTTCTGGAGAAGTAGATACTTCAAATATGAATCAATGTACCATTGTTTGAAGATTTCTATAGTCAAGTTAACAACTTGCTGGAGAAGCAGATACTTAATGTACCATTGTTTGAAGGTGTGCATGGTCAAAACATTTGAGGTGAATACAGTTGAATTCTATCTTGTTAAAAAAAGTTTGCTAAGTAAATTCATGATTGTTCCCAATTATGAACATTTTATATATTGTAAAAATCTAAATTCATATGACATCAATGGGGTTAAGAGTCAATGTGCAACCATTTGAAAATATATAAGGTTTCCCAAAGATGTATGGATCTTTTAATAGCAAATAGTAACTAATGTTAGTATTTGAAGGATAAGTAAATACCTGAATGTTGAAGAATGAATGTTATAATAATTAATTAGAGTTACAAATTCCATCTGAAATCACAATGTTCAAACCATAACCCCTGTTGAGCAATGCACTCTTTGCATTGACAAAGCACAGAATTATGGTGTGTGTGTGTGTTTTTTTTTCTTAAAGTCTCTCTTGTAATTTTGTGACATCTATCTATTCTTGAAGTATTTAGTCCTATTAAGAACATATGTACTTTTCAATGCATTTTTGAGAATTATGAGCCATTATGAATGCATATATTTTTGGCCACCCTGTGTTTTTTAGTCATACTTTAATAGGCCAACAAAACGTGTACATTTTAAAGATCTCCAAAGATCTTCATAAAGCAAGATGTTTCAAAAATCAGGTGGGAAGGAGGTGAAATCAGAATATTTTGAAATATAATGAAAAAGGCACTTGATAACGTGACACTACTAGATCCCAAAATCTGCTGACTGTAAAAAAAACAACTTCGACTTTCCACTTTATTATTTTTTAAATCATTGTAAACTTTAAAAGTGTTGTAAATCTTCTTCACTATACATAAAAAAAACCAAACATTATATTATTTACACTTAAATCTGAAGAACAAAAATGATAAGAAAATTGTAGACTCCTGGGTGGAATTAATGCTTCACACTATAAAAAAGTTGAGGAAAATAATGTTACATTTTTTACTGATGATAAAGATGTTAATTTTATACAAAACAATATTTTATAATTGCTTCATATAGTACAAAATAAATGTTGTGTCCCTAAATTGCCAAAGTTCAATGGAAATCTCTAGTTCTGATACCATTCTTGATCTCAGATTTGTGCTTCTGAATTATTTTTGATAGAAATCGTCCTGTTAATCCCTGTGTAGAATGCAAAGATGTATTGATAAGAGAAGGTGGCACATATCATATTGGGACATGAGAAGATGAATGAAGCCCCGATGTTATTGGTGACATTTCTCCGCTCTGCATTTGCTTGTGACATTGCCATAGTAGATGCAGGGACAGAAATGACGTGAAGTTTTGAATAAGATTTTAATTTTAGCCAGAATAACATTTTTTTCTATTTTTTCCAAAAGAGGGATGACATTCTGTGCCATTGTACCAGCTCATCCAATAGACAAGAGACATTTTTACAGACAATGAATTGAACTATAAAGTATGTGGCATATACATGAAACTTCCCACAGGTCCTTCAGGATGTTCTCCAGTAGGAGAGCTAATATATTTCTTTGTAAGATTAAAATTAAGGGAAGAGTTTATGAGAGCCAAATTCTGCATACTTATCAATACTTTTATCAAAAATTGCTTTTTACTATTAAAGGCCTATAGTCAATAGAAACATTCCAGTATTGATGTTTTTTTGTTTTTTTTTAAAAACCCCACTACAGATGCTTTTGTCTTAATCTCTTAGGTAAAATCAATTAAAACAGCTCCAATATACCATGGAAGTATACAAAACTTTTTTCTGTATGGAGATCATGATGGAGATGTATATGCTCCAGGAGGATTTGTTCAATTAGCTTTGGTAAGTGAATAGTTCAAATTTTAAATTAAGGTTAGGCAAAGGCAAGGGATTGCACTGCTGCATGGGGCCCTGCCCCTTCCCTTTAATCACCTTACATTTCCCAATAAAATGGATGTAAGACATTCTCTCTCATGACTCCCCCCCCCCACGCAATATTTTTAATTATTGTTACAACATCTTGCTTGCACTTCGATTTCATTGGTGCTCATGCTTATACACGTTTCATTTTCATGTAATTTTTGTCTGCACCTTCTTTTTTAAATACATCCTTCTCTTGAATAACATTTTTATTGTTAACACCTCTCATCCCCACCCACGGTCACCCTTCCCTCCTGACTACATATTTACCCTATATCTTTATCTTTAACCATGCACAGTTTCCTTAATTTCTGTACAATATTTACATTGGCTTTAGCTCTTTCTATCCATTCTATATATGTCTTCCATTTATTTTTAATTTCTTCTGTTTTATCCTCCTATATATCCTCCCAAATTACATATACTATAATTTCAATGTTTTAAGGACATTTTAAGGACATTTTCTTTCCATGGCAAAAGCTATTACTGATTCTCAGGGAGTACCAGTCGTGGTTATAGCGTTAAACAGTGTGTGTATTCTTTCAAAATCATCATCTCAAATTTCCAATTTTGTTACTTTCCTTAGCCAGCTCATTAGAGTTTTTTTCTTGATAATCTTAAATTCCTCCTCCTCTGTCTATCACTCTGCTGAACTAGCTGTTTGGAAAGTTGCTTTATTCTCATTTCATTTGTGTCCTCTTTCTCTTGTGCATTGTCAGCAGTTTTGTTAACAGATTTCATTTCAATACAGACTTGTTTTAACTTCTCCTGAAGAGTTTTGATATCTCCCCTTATAATTTTCCATACTAAAGAAAATTTCTTTCAGCTCTTTTTCTCTCCATTTTCTTTTATCCGACTGTTTATCTTAGCCTCCCAGATTTATTCAAAGAGATACTCACTCTGAGATTGTCAGTCGAGCTTTGTTCCAGTTCTGGTCAGCCATGCTTATTAGTTTGTTATCTGTTATTTTTATTTCGTGTTTCTACTTTTTTATGGGCTATAGCTATAACTCTTAACTTTCTGGGAGGGGGTTGTCTTATCTTGTTTGACGCATGTGCAGCTCCTCTCTCCTGTGACTTACAGTGTCCCAACATTCTCTGGTGTACTTCTGCTGACACATTTGGGGGCTTCCTCCAAATTTTTCTTGTGTGTCCAGTTTAAAAAAAGTTCAATTAGACTCTAATCCTCAGACCCCCAAAACACAGCAAAGTATCAGTAGCACTCTATAACTCTATCAGTTGTATTGTGAATGGAACAAAAAAGGTTTTTGCAAAAAATGGAAGTGAGGACATGGGAATTCTTAGGAGGATCCAATCACAAAACAGCCTACAGGCCATCATTTCCCCAACTTTGTTTTTGCTGAACCCAATATAATTTCCATATGAAAGTCTTTGTTTTCCACCTGTGGGTTCTTTTTTAACAAATATTTTATTTATTTATTTATTTATTTATTATTTGAACTTATATCCCGCCACTCCCCTGGGGCTCGGAGCGGCTTACAAGAATGGCTAAAATCTAACAAATTTAAAAGCAATTTAAAACAATTTAAAAACAGCAATATCAAACATTAAAAGCCTGTCGAAACAGGTATGTCTTACATGCCCTGCGGAAAGCTGGTAAGTCCCGCAAGGCACGGACTTCAGGTGGCAGAGTATTCCAGAGTGATGGTGCCACTGCTGTGAAGGCTCTGCGTCTGGTTGCTGTTAGACACAAGGTCTTGACACTGGGAATTTCCAATAGATCTTGGTCCTCAGAATGGAGGGATCTATGGGGTTGGTAGGGGGTGAGGCGGTCCCTCAGGTACATCGGCCCCAGACCATGCAAGGCCTTAAAGGTGAGTACCATCACTTTGAAAGTGATCCGGTGCTCAATTGGTAACCAATGCAGCTGTAGTAAGATTGGTGTTATGTGGCATCTCATTGGAATTCCCGCAAGAAGCCGAGCAGCTGCATTTTGTACCAACTTGAGCTTCCGGATCACCGACAGAGGAAGGCCAATGTAGAGGGCGTTACAGTAGTCCAGTCTTGAGATGACCGTGGCCTGGATCACCATAGCTAGGTCGTCCCTGGACAGGTAGGGGGCCAGCTGTCTAGCCTGCCGCAGGTGAAAAAAGGTGGTTCTGCTAACAGCGGAGCAGAAAAATAACACTATTTTGATTGCTCTGTGAATCATGCAACAAATGCAGAACAAGTTAGGTAACATATGTCCTTCCTAACCATTTTTGTAGTTCTTACTCTGAATTATTCAACAGCAGTAAAAAAAAATAGGTGCGTGAAAGTAGGCATCTTGCCTATAAGATGAATAGCTTCTCGGGGGCATGATTCTTCTTTAAAACAAGAAGTGTGCTCCTTAGGCTCATCCTTTATTAAGCTAATACCTTGGTAATGGACACATACTTTATTTAATTAACCAGTTAACAGATATAATATTTACAACTCTAATTTAAATTATACAGATCTAAAAAATTAAGAGGTGTGTCAGCAAATAAAAATTATGTACATACCATATTTACTTTTAATAGCATATGTGTGTCCTCCTTCATTTTAAACAGTAACAGTTTCAAATTTTAGGAACCACAAGCACTATATGATGAAATAAAGGTTATTCCAATACACAAACTTGATCGTTCAGCATCTGACACAGCACTGAAAAAATACATTGAAGAAGAAATGGCCAGGTAAGCTTCTTTAGACAAACTAATTTAGAAATCTTCTTTTTGTTGATTGTTAAATTAAATTTAGGTCCTTTAGTTTGGAAGTAAAAGGCCACTATTAGTGAATTAATTTCAGGGGTTTTAATCATTTATCAGTCAATTAATGAATTAAGAATGCAATCCCAATTGGAGAGATGGCTAGCACTTGCTGTTCTAAATCCAAATACCTCCTTGCATGGGATACTTGACATCCTTAAAAAACATCACTTGGACTATGTGACTGTGTCCTTGCTCTGGATAATATTTGAATATGGTCCTTCCTTAGCTCCACTTTCATAACATCCTTCCTCAGCTTTCTTTTGAATGGAAGGGGAGGCACTTCTTCTTTGCCTCTCAGCTGACTAGAGTGAAGCCAGCTGGAAAGAGAGAGGGGGGTCTTTCTATGCTTCTCCTAGCTAGAGAAGGGACAAAAAGTGGGGGATGGGAGGGAAGAGGGCTTTCTGGCACCTCCTCAATTCAGAGAAGCGACAGAAAGCCAGGGTTTGAAGAGAGGGGAGCTTTCTGGCACTTCCCCATTTTGGAGAAGTGACAGCCAGGGTTTGAAGGGAGGAGGGGCTTTCTGTCATTTCTTCCAGATAGAAAAGCGCCAGATAGCCAGGGGAAGGGAAGGGGGCTTTCTGCTGCTTCTCCCAGCTGAGAGGAGAAGCTGGCTGAGGGGGAAGTAGTGCCTCCCCCCATGCCAAGACTGAAGAACTCGCCAGGCTTGGCTTGCCGGAGGGGTGTGGCGTCCCAGCTGGCCTCACTCATAGCCTGAATGAGGCCAGTTGGGAATCCCCCTTTGGCGAGCGATTGTAATGTCATGAAATCTAATGCACTCCCCAATTTTGACATTGGTTATTTAACCCCAAAAGGTGTGCATTACATTTGAATAAATATGATACCCTCTACAGTCCTTAAACTACATTTATATTAAAATGAATTGTGTTTTTTTTTAAAAAAAACTGATTCACCAATGATAGATTTTTCCTCATTGAACTGAATTAATACAATTGATTGAATTGATCACAGTTTCTTTCTCTTATTAGACTTCCTGATAGGTTGTCAGTCACATGGCCTGAAGGAGATGAATTGTTACCAGATGAAACAAAACTTGCTGGGGCAACTATAGGTATTTATTAAATTCAGACATGGTTTAATTTAAAGCCCAATTCAGCTGTTACTCTGCTTATCAAAATGTGCAAACAAAGAGCAGACTTGTGCTGAGTAGTCCTTACCATGGCATAGTACATTTCTCCTAATCACTACAATACAGCATGAAATTCTACAAAAATAAATATTTAACATATGCAACTTCATATAGGGTGGGCTTTATGCAACCCAAACCACAGAGTTCCGGGACATGTAGAAATCTCAAAATATGTACAGGCATTAAACTCCATGATTGGCATCTAACTTGTAAATTATACTGAACTGTAGATGTTTTGATGTGTTTTGTGACTTTTTTTTTCCAGGTGCATTAAAAGTTGAAATTTTGAATAAAAAAGGAGAGCCCATGCAAAAACTTCCAGGTTCAAGACACGGAGGATCGAAGAAATTGCTTGTGGAACTGAAGGTTATTTTGCATTGTAAGTATCTCTATATTTCCCCAGCTTATTAAAAAACTTCATATATGTGTATTAAAATTGTTTTCCACAGACAGAACACACTGAAGTTTTAGAGTCCGAATCTTTTTCAAGTATGTTGACATATTTCCTTGCTTTTGAGAAGTGTTGAAGTCACAGGGTCTGGACTTAACGTAGAAACTGATTTCTTTATTTATTTATTTTTATTTCATGCCAAAAGCATTGCATAAATAAATAAATTTAAAACTTATAAAATAAAGGGAGCACAAGCAGCTAAATCAAAAACAGGAAACAGCAACTGCATTGTCTGTAGGTTTAAACTTCTTCCTCTGTGTATGAGGAAGGGCATTGTGGGTCAGCATACTGAGTTGTTTGTTTTGCTCCAGTTGCACAAGGTGGAGGATTCTTCTAGGTAGTGCCATTTTTGCCAGGTTGTCTTTTTATCTGTCAACTCTGCTTCTGAGTCTGTTCAGGGACTTCCAAGTTGCCCATTCTTGGTCTGCCCCAGGAGGAAAACCCTCATGGGGGGGGGGGGGATCGAGTTGGAATTGCTTGATTTTGCTGCCCTGAAGGATATTATTGCTGTTGCTGGAGGAACATTTAAACTGGTGAAATGTATACAGAATCATAGATTAATGAGAGTGGTATGGGTCCCAAAGAACATTTGGTCCAACAGCCTTCACTGCAAGAATCTAAAAATAAGGCAGTCCTGAGATATGGCTATCCACATGCAGAGAATGGAAAATCCACTTGCTTTTTGAATGTTCTCTTCCACAGCTGAACAGCAGATTTTTTTTCCAAATGTTTAAGTGAGATATCTTTTAATTTGTCTCCATTGATTCATGCCCTAGTCTCTGGAGTGGTAGAAAATAAATTTGCTCTATCTTCTACATGATATCCTATCATATATTTAAATATGCCAATCTTCCCTCTTCCAAACTAAACATTAGGCCTGGGTAACAACGCAAAAATTTGTTTCTAAAATCGATTTGTAATTGGGGTGTTTTTTTGTTTCGATATTTAAAATAATTACAAAATTTTCCCTTAAAAAAGTTCGGTATTTACGAAATTTCGTAAATATTTACGAAACGATTCGTTAAGATGGCGGACCCCCCCGCGCATGCGCAAAATCACTTCCGAAGCTTCGTTATTGGCGCGGGGTCGATTCGTTAAGGTTATAACGAATCGATTCTTTAAAACGGCGGGCGCGATTGCGCATGCGCAAAAGCGACTTCCGAAACTTCGTTATTAAATACGAATCGATTCGCTATTAAAATAATAACGAATCGATTCGTTAAAATGGCGGACGCGATTGCGCAATGCTAAATGCTCTATAAACAAAATCATTTCATAAAATAAATCAAATAAAATAATCAAATAGAACAAGATATTAAGATATTAAATAAAAAAGTAATAAGATAAAGTATCCAAAACTGAGTCAATTTAATAATATAATGAAATAAACAATAATATAATAATAAAATTTAAATAAATAAAATATAAATAAATAATAATAATAATAAATAATAACAATAAATAATATAAAATTATATAATATATACAATATAAAATAAAATAATATAATATATATTATATATATTATATAAATGAAATAAGTAATAATATAAATATTTAAATAAAATATAATTAAATCTATAAAATATTTATAAAATATAATTATAAATAATAATAAAAATAATATATAAAATTAAATTATAAATTATTAATATATAAAAATAATGTTATTATAAAAACTTAGAAAGTAAATATAAGAAATAAATAAAGAAAAAGTAACAAAAAGTAACAGAAATTGCACTTTGAAAAAACTCTGAAAATTATCTGGGAAGTATTGCATACATACTAATTTCTGTAGCAGTATTGCAAGTTAAGTAAGAAGGACCAACTTCACATTTGGGGGTGGTGTATCTTAATGTGCATCCTTAGCCCTGTTGTGGCAAGATGCCTCATATCTTTTCCTCTGCTGACGCTCACACCGCAATGCCTGCAAACTGCCAAAGTGGCCCTCTCATTATGGACGTCGTAATGATCCCATAGGAGCGATCTCGGCCTACCCCTACTAGGCACTTCAGATGTACTCATGCTCGTGTTTGGACTGTCGGTGTTTGTGGAAGGGAGTATAATCGTTGGTTGTTTCTGTAGCTCGCCCTCCATCAGCATGCAGTCCTCTTGATCACTAATTCCTGTGGCACATTCCATCTTGTCTTCCTCCCATTCCTCTGACACGTCCGCCTCCTCGCCCTCCTCTTCATAACAAGTAATATCAGAGGTACTTGGAACGACATCAGGATCTGAACGTAGAGTCTTTCGAACTGATGAAGAAGAAGGTTCTGCCATCTCACAGCTGGTTGAAGCATCTGTGGGTGTTTCAATAACCATCTCGTTGGATGAATGTTCCCTTCTTGTCAATGTGTTCATCTTCAGTCCCCTGCCTTTCTTCGGTATTCGCGATAGCACTTGGCCCTTGCGACTAGAAAAGCCAGGAAGGAAGCGTTTCATCACACTGGTTGGAACTACACAAATAATGAGCAAAAGGAGCGCACTGGTTGGAACTACACAAATAATGAGCGAGCACTGTATTATAGCACTTTCTGTTGGCAAAAGGAGCGCACTGGTTGGAACTACACAAATGAGCGAGCACTGTATGTAGCACTTTGTGTTGGCAAAAGGAGCGCACTGGTTGGAACTACACAAATGAGCGAGCACTGTATATAGCACTTTGTGTTGGCAAAAGGAGCGCACTGGTTGGAACTACACAAATGAGCGAGCACTGTATTATAGCACTTTGTGTTGGCAAAAGGAGCGCACTGGTTGGAACTACACAAATGAGAGAGCACTGTATTATAGCACTTTGTGTTGGCAAAAGGAGCGCACTGGTTGGAACTACACAAATGAGCGAGCAGTGTATGTAGCACTTTGTGTTGGCAAAAGGAGCGCACTGGTTGGAACTACACAAATGAGCGAGCACTGTATTATAGCACTTTCTGTTGGCAAAAGGAGCGCACTGGTTGGAACTACACAAATGATCGAGCAGTGTATGTAGCACTTTGTGTTGGCAAAAGGAGCGCACTGGTTGGAACTACACAAATGAGCGAGGCACTGTATTATAGCACTTTGTGTTGGCAAAAGGAGCGCACTGGTTGGAACTACACAAATGAGCGAGCAGTGTAATTAGCACTTTGTGTTGGCAAAAGGAGCGCACTGGTTGGAACTACACAAATGAGCGAGCAAGTGTATGTAGCACTTTCTGTTGGCAAAAGGAGCGCACTGGTTGGAACTACACAAATGAGCGAGCACTGTATTATAGCACTTTGTGTTGGCAAAAGGAGCGCACTGGTTGGAACTACACAAGATGAGCGAGCACTGTATTATAGCACTTTGTGTTGGCAAAAGGAGCGCACTGGTTGGAACTACACAAATGAGCGAGCACTGTATTATAGCACTTTGTTGGCAAAAGGAGCGCACTGGTTGGAACTACACAAATGATGAGCGAGCACTGTATTATAGCACTTTCTGTTGGCAAAAGGAGCGCACTGGTTGGAACTACACAAATGAGCGAGCAGTGTATGTAGCACTTTGTGTTGGCAAAAGGAGCGCACTGGTTGGAACTACACAAATGATGAGCGAGCACTGTATTATAGCACTTTCTGTTGGCAAAAGGAGCGCACTGGTTGGAACTACACAAATGAGCGAGCAGTGTATGTAGCACTTTGTGTTGGCAAAGGAGCGCACTGGTTGGAACTACACAAATGAGCGAGCACTGTATTATAGCACTTTGTGTTGGCAAAAGGAGCGCACTGGTTGGAACTACACAAATGAGCGAGCACTGTATTATAGCACTTTGTGTTGGCAAAAGGAGCGCACTGGTTGGAACTACACAAATGAGCGAGCACTGTATTATAGCACTTTGTGTTGGCAAAAGGAGCGCACTGGTTGGAACTACATAAATGAGCGAGCACTGTATTATAGCACTTTGTGTTGGCAAAAGGAGCGCACTGGTTGGAACTACACAAATGACAAACGCACACACAGCCACCGAAGAGTCTTTTATTTTTTTAGAATATTTTTTGTATTTTTTTAAGAATAAAAGACAGGTATTTTTAAAAAATATTCAAAAATGGAAAATTAACCAAAAACTGGCCCTGATGTGGACCAAACACAGCCACGAGACAGGGCAAACGAGAGCACACACCAACAGAAGAGTCTTTTCTTTTTTAGAATATTTTTTGTATTTTTTTAAGAATAAAAGACAGGTATTTTTAAAAAATATTCAAAAATGGAAAATTAACCAAAAACGCCCTGATGTGGACCAAACACAGCCACGAGACAGGGCAAACGAGAGCACACACCAACAGAAGAATCTTTTCTTTTTTAGAATATTTTTTGTTTTTTTTAAGAATAAAAGACAGGTATTTTTAAAAAATATTTAAAAATGGAAAATTAACAAACAAATTGACAAAAACCGAAGGAAGGAATGAATCAAAGCAAGGAATTAATAATAAGCAGCAAGGAATGAATCCAAGCAAGGAATGAATAAGCAAGGAATGAATCCAATCCAAGCTTAGCCAGTTGCAAGCCAACCCAATGCAAGCCACCCTCCCGGACCTCTTCTCTTCTCCCTCGCCTCTGCAACAATGAGCTGTACGGCCGCGCGGAGCCGCTTTTAAAGGGCTTGCCGGCCAATCAGAAACAGCCACGGTGCACTGCTTGAGTGCTTGGGTGCTTGGGAGCGCCGGATTGGCTCCCAGGGCACCAGCATCCTCCATCCCATTTACGAAACGGGCGGAAGCTCGTTAAAACTATGGGGATTGCCGGTTCGTTATTTTTAAACCCTTCCGGGTTTGAAAATGTGTTTTGTAATCGTTTCGTTATTGCTAAAAATAACGAATATTTAACGAATTGCAAAATTAACGAACGAAACCGCCCAGGCCTACTAAACATATCCCACCCTTCTTTAGGCATTCCTCACAGTTCTTTGTTTCCAG